TTCTTTGAAAAAATAAAGTTAACAAACCTCTAGCAAAATGGACAAACAAAAAAAAAATAGAAAAGATACACATTAACAACATCAGGAAATAAACAGAGGATATAGACCCTTCAGATAACAAAAGGATTATAAGGGAACACTATGAACAACTCTCTATACAGCAATTTTCAACTCAGACAAAATGGACCAATTACTCAAAATAATGCAAACTACAAGTCATCCAATATGACATAAATCATTTAAACAGCCCTATATCTACTAAAGAAATTGAATTTGTAATTTAAAAACTCCAAAAGAGAAATCTCCAGGCCCAGATGGGTTCACTGTAGAATTCTACTAAACATTTAAATGAAAATTAAAACCAATTCTACAAACTCTTTAAGAAACTAGAAAAGAAGGGGACACTTTCCAACTCATTTTACAAGGTCTATATGACAGGAACCAAACAAAGACAGAAAAAAAAAAAAAAGCTAAAGATCAATATCTTTCATGAATATAAACGTATAAATCTTTTGGATCATCGGGAGGCATCGATCACTAAAGGAGGACAACTTATTTGATGAAGTAGAGGGCCAATAAGGGCGTGGGAGACCCTCGGTGAGCAAGATTGGCACAACAGCCACAACCGTGAACTCAAACATGCTGGTGATTGCGAGGATGACTCAGGACAGGGCAACATTACATTCTGTTGTACGTAAGGTCGCAGTGAACCAGAATCGATTCGACGGCAGCTAACAACAACAGCACAATATTTGCCTTTTCATTCCTCTGACATTTGCACTGGTGATGTAAAAGCAATGGTGAGTAAAATTACTGACATCAAACTATACTAGCAGTCATTGTTTCCTTCACTTCCATACACTCAGTAGAGAAAGGCTAAAAAAAGCAAGTTTCACTTAAGAGAGTCCTTGATGAAGCAAGTTATAATTTTATTAACTCTTAACCCTCGAGTACATATCTTTTTAATATTCTGTGTGACAATATGGGAAGTACACATAAAGCACCATCTCAAGGAGAAGCACTTGTGTGACTGAATTGTCAGTTAAACTAGGCAAGAGCCACCTTGTCTGACCTCACCTGGGAACATGCATATCCTAGATCTCAAATTTTTTTGCAGCTCTGTGCATGTGAATGACTGCAATTTTGAGGGGTACAAATAAATTTAAGGAAGCATGCAAATTCACAAATATGGAATCCACAAATAATAAGGATCTACTGTAGTTTACTTTCACAAAAAAATCATTCATGTTAACATGTAATGGCTTTTTATTGTTACTTTAAATCAATTAATAAATGTTTTTAAAAGTTCTGAATTTATTTTTAACACTATAACTATTGGTAGGTATATTCCACATAAACAAAAGATCTTTGGAATTCTCCAAAATTTTTAAGCATATAAAGAGATCATGTGATCAAAAAATTTAAGAACCACTGCAGTAGAGTAGAATATATAGTATAATATACAGTACACTGTAGTACACTTGCAGGGTTGAGAAGCCTTTCTACACTATACTATAGCATAAGCCTAGGCCCTATCCCCAGCGATTATGATTTAACTGGCCTTGGATGGCACTCACGTATTGGTAAGCTTTAAAAGCTGCCTGGGTGACTCTAATGTATAGTCACTAGAGTAGTGTAGTATAGTATAATGTAGTGTATAGACATACTGTAAGGAGCACAGAGTGATATATACAGTGGCATTAGTATATCATTTTAGTGTTTTATCTAATCTAATCAGCAAAGGTTTACTGAAAATGGTAACATAGTAAATACTTAGGCTTTCCAGGCCACATACAGCCTCAGCTGAATATCCTTTTTTGTTTTTGTTTACAACCTTTTAAACAAGTAAAAACCATTCTCAGCTCACTGGCCATAAAAAACCCAATGTAGTTTATTTTCACAAAAGGAAATCTGAACATACAGAATATAGAATAATAGATTCAACTAGGGAAAAGATAACATACAGTTCATACAGCTTTTTCTGGATGAATTCATTTCGTTGCTGAAGTTGATTTTAAGGACTTACCCAATGGTGTGTATTTAGCCAGTCAAGATTAGGATAACTCCTAGACAAGCCATCTTGCCATTACAATTAAATGTTGTTTGTAATGTACTGACAGCTCTGAAAGCAGCAAATTTTAAGAAACAGGGGCCAGGACACAGTAGTCAGTAGATCTAAAGGACTAGATATACTCAGACCAATCTCAAGTTCCAATACACAGCCACGACTAACTAAAATACAACAGCATTTGAAGTAGGAAGATAAAACATTATTCATAATTAGCGTATGCTTTCTAAAAATCTTCCTCTTTTGGGATTATCAATATATTCTTCTTTAATAATACGTGGTTGACTAAATTACTGTATATACTACATACGTTAGAATTCATTTTAATAATTAAACAGTAGGAAACTGTTCCAGGTTCTGAGGGTACAAACAAGACCTTAAGAAACATTCTGGAAAGGCAGACAGGTAAAATAGCATAGCACAACAGAATACATAACATTAATATGATTTAGCATAATATACATCCTTGCTATTCAATTTCATTACATCTAAGATGCTATACCTCCACGTGTCTGTCAGTTTGTCATACTGTGGGGGCCTGTGTGTTGCTGTGATGCTGGAAGCTATGCCACCGGTATTCAAATGCCAGTAGGATCAGCCGTAGCAAACAGGTTTCAGCTGAGCTTCCAGACTGAGACAGACTAGGAAGAAGGACCCAACAGTCTACTTCTGAAAAGAATTAGCCAGTGAAAACCTTACGAATGTAGCACAACACTGTCTGATATAATGCCGGAAGATGAGCCCCCCCAGGTTGGAAGGCACTGAAAAGACGACTGGGGAAGAGGTACCTCCTCAAAGTAGAGTCGACCTTAATGACGTGGAGGGAGTCAAGCTTTTGGGACCTTCATTTGCTGATGTGACATGACTTAAAATGAGAAGAAACAGCTGTAGAGATTCACTAATCATCAGAACACAGAATGTACAAAATATGACTCTAGGAAAACTGGAAATCGTCAAAAATGAAACGGAACACATAAACATTGATATCCTCAGCATTAGTGACCTGAAATGGACTGGTATTGGGCATTTTGAAATAGACAATCATATGGTCTACTATGCTGGGAATGACAACATGAAGAGGAATGGCATTGCATTCATCATCAAAAAGAATATTTCAAGATCTACCCTGAAGTACAATACTTGCTATCAGTGATAAGGTAATATTCAAACACCTACAAGGAAGACCAGTTAATACGACTATTATTCAAATTTATGCACCAACCACTAAGGCTAAAGATGAAGAAATTGAAGATTTTTACCAACTTTTGCAGTCTGAAATCGATTGAACATGCAATCAGGATGCATTGATAATTACTGGTTATTGGAATGTGTAAGTTCGAAATAAAGAAGGATCAGTAGTTTGAAAATACGGCCATGGTGACAGAAACAATGTCAGAGATCACATGACAGAATTTTGCAAGACCAATGACTTTTTCATTGCAAATACCTTTTTTCAACAAAATAAACGGTGCTTATACTTATGGATCTCACCAGATGGAATGCACAGGAATCAAATCAACTACATCTGTGGAAAAAGATGATAGAAAAGCTCAAAATCATCAGTCAGAACAAGGTCAGAGGCTGACTGTGGAACAGACCATCAGTTGCTCATATGCAAGTTCAAGGTGAAACTGAAGAAAATTAGAACAAGTGCAAAAGAGCCTAAGTATGACCTTAAGTATATCCCACCTGAATTTAGAGACAATCTCAAGAATAGATTTGCCGTGTTGAACAGTCATGACCGAAGATCAGATGAGTTGTCGAATGACATCAAGGACTTCGTACATGAAGAAAGCAAGAGGTAATTAAAAAGACAGGAAAGAAAGAAAAGACCAAAATGGATGAGAGAAGAGATTCTGAAACTTGCTCTTGCACATCAAGTAGCTAAACGAAAAGAAAGAAAAGAATTGAAGAGAAGATTTCAAAGGGTGGCTTGAGAAGACAAAGTAAAGTATTATAATGACATGTGCAAAGAGCTGTAGATAGAAACCCAAAACAGAAGAACACTCTCGGTATTTCTCAAGCTGAAAGAACTGAAGAAAAAATTCAAGCCTCAAGTTGCAATAGTGAAGGATTCTACGGGGAAAAATTAAATAATGCAGAAAGCATCAAAAGAAGATGGAAGGAATACACAGAGTCATTATACCAAAAAGAACTGGTCAATGTTCAACCATTTCAGGAGGTAGCATATGATCAGGAACCAATGGTACTGAAGGAAGAAGTCCAAGCTGCACTGAAGGCATTGGTGAAAAACAAGGCTCTGGGAATTTACGGACTATCAGTTGAGGTGTTTCAACAAATGGATGTATCCCTGGAAGTGCTCACTCTTCTATGCCAAGAAATTTGGAAGAAATCTCCCTGGCCAACTGACTGGAAAAGATTCACATTTATAACTATTCCAAAGAAATGTTATCCAATCAAATGCGGAAATTATTGAACAATATCATTAATATCACATGCAAGTAAAATTTTGCTGAAGATCATTCAAAAGCAGCTGCAACAGTATATTGACAGGGAACTGCCAGAACTTCAAGCTGGATTCAGAAGAGGACGTGGAACTAGGGATATCATTGATGATGTAAGATGGATCCTGGCTGAAAGCAGAGAATACCAGAAAAATGTTTACATGTGTTTTATTGACTGTGCTAAGGCATTTGACTATATGAATCATAACAAAATGATCAATACTTAGGAAATTCTTCAAAACAGAGGTGATGTTTAACCGTACCTGAGCCCTGGTGGTGCACTGGTTAAAGCAACTGAATGCTAATTGAAAGGTCAGAGGTTTGAAACCACCAGTGACTCCATGGGTGAAAGATGTGGCAGTCTGCTTCCACACAGATTCATAGCCTTGGAAATCCTGTAGGGTCACTATGAGTCAGAATTGACTCAATGGCAGTGGGTTTTTTTGTTTTTTCAAATATGCAATAAGGCGCTCACATCGGCAGTGTACATACTAAAATTGGAATGATACAGAGAAGACTAGCATGGCCCCTACATGAGGATGACACATAAAATCATGAAGCAGTCTATATTTTTACACTTGGGGACTGACTATCTGGACATCTGAGCTGAATCCATATGAGAAAAGTAAACAGACTCCTGGGCTTATATACCTAGTAACAGATCTAACCACCTGTTGACAGGATGTTTGAGCTTCAAAGGCATCAATAATCAAACTAGCTCACAAGGGCAGCCTATTTGGGCATATCAAAACATAACAAAACAAGAAGCTAGGGCACAGTAAGCAAACATAAAATAAATATAACTTATTGATAGCTCAGAAACAACAGTCAATATCAAACCACATAAAGAGGCAGACCATGACAGCTTCAGCAAGTTCCCAAAACAAGGAATCAAGAAATCTTCCAGAGAAAGAGAACTTCTTGGAACTACTGGAGGTAGAATACAAAAGATTAACATACAGAACTCTTCAAGAGAACAGGAATGAGATCAGGCAAAAAGTAGAACAAGGCAAGGAACACACAGACAAAGCAACAGAGGAACTTAAGATTATAGAAGAGCACAATGACAAATTTAACAAGCTGCAAGAATCTAGAGACACAGCAATCAGAAATCCAGAAGATTAACAATAAAATTTCAGAATTAGACAACTCAACAGAAAGTCACAGGAGCAGAATTGAGGCAATAGAAGTCAGAATTAGTGAGACTGAAGATAAAGCACTTGACACCAACTTATTTCAGGAAAAAATCAGATAAAAGAATTTAAAAAAAATTAGAAACCCTAAGAATTATGTGGGACTCCATCAAGAGGAATAACCTACGAGTGATTGGAGTACCAGAACAGGGGGATAACAGGAAATACAGAGAGAATTGTTGAAGATTTGTTGGCAGAAAATTTCCCTGACATCGTGAAAGATGACAAGATATCTATCTAAAATGCTCATCAAACCCCACATAAGGTAGATCTCAAAAGAAAGTCACCAAGACATATTATAATCAAACTTGCCAAAACCAAAGATAAAAAGAGAATTTGAAGAGTGGCTAGGGATAAAAAGTCATCTACAAAGGAAAGTCAATAAGAATAAGCTCGGACTACTCAGCAGAAACCATGCAGGCAAGAAGGCAATAGGATGACATATATGAAGCCTTGAAAGAAAAAAATTGCCAGCCAAGAATTATACATCCAGCAAAACTGTCTCAAATATGATTGCAAAATTAGGGCATTTCCAGATAAACAGAAGTTTAGGGAATTTTTTAAAAAATACCAAAATTACAAGAAATACTAAAGGGACTCCGCTGGTTAGAAAATCAATAACACTAGATAACAACCCAAGACTAGAACACAGGACAAAGCAGGCAGATATCAACCCAGATAAGGAAGTCACAAAAATAAATCAGTGCTGAAAATAGGGAAACAGAGATGTCAATATGTAAAAGATGACAACATTAACACAAAAAAGAACTAAAAATTGTAGTTATAGATCTTTCATATGGAGAGGAAGTCAAGGTAATATAAAGAAATAAAAGATTGGTTTAAACTTAGAAAAATAGGGGTAAATATTAAGGTAACCACAAAGGAAACTAACAATCCTACACATCTAAATAAAAAACAAGAAAAACATAAAGACTCAGCAAATAGAAAATCAACTACAATGAAAAAGATGAAAAGAAAAATACATGAAGACAAACAACTCAGCACAGAAAATTAAGTGGAACAAAGAAACTGTCAACAACAACAAAAAAAGACATCAAAATGACAGCACTAAATGCATACCTATAAACAATTATGCTGAATGTAAATGGACTAGATGCACCAATAAAGAGACAGAGAGTGGCAGAATGGGTTAAAAAACACGATCCATATATGCTGCCTACAAGAGACACACCTTAGACTTAAAGACACAAACAAAATAAAACTCAAAGAATGGAAAAAAATAAATCAAGCAAACAACACTCAAAAAAGAGCAGGAGTGGCAATAGTAATCTCCAACAAAACAGACTTTAAAGTAAAATCCACCACAAAGGAAAAGGAGGGACACTACATAATGATTAAAGGGTCAATACAACAGGAGGACATAACTATAATAAATATTTACACTCCCAACGACAGGGCTCCAAAATACATAAACTCTAACAGCACTGAAAACAGACATACACAGCTCCACAATAATAGAAGGAAATTGCAACACACCACTTTCAGTGAAGAACAGAACATCCAGAAAGAAGCTCAATAAAGACACGGAAGATCTAAATGCCACATCAGTGAACTTCATCTCACAGACATATACCGAACACTCCACCCAACAGCAGCAAAGTATACTTTGTTTTCCAACACACATGGAACATTCTCCAGAAGAGACCACATATTAGGCCATGAAGGAAGCCTTAACAGAACCAAAGCATCGAAATATTACAAAGCATCTTTTCTGACCATAAAGCCATAAAAGTGGAAATCAATAACAGAAAAAGTAAAGGAAAAAAATCAAGCACATGGAAACTGAACAATACCTTGCTAATAAACTACTGGATTGTAGAAAAATTAAGGATGGTAAAAAGAAATTCATAGAATCAAATGAGAATGAAAACACATCCTACCAGAACCTTTGGGACACAGCAAAAGCAGTGCTTAGAGGTCCATTTATAGCAATGAATGCACACATTCAAAAAGAAGAAAGGGCCAAAATCAAAACATTAACCCTACAACTTGAACAAATAGAAAGAGAGCAACAAAAGAAGCCC